TTATGGCTCTCTTTGATAGAGAGCGAGAAACATTCCACATGGAGTCATGCAACAGTGTGAGTATTCCATATTGTATTTTCGGAACTTGGAATAGATTATGTTCACCAGCCAGATTGCCCCCCAGTCACACACAGCCACAAAGACACAACCTCAATTAAAAGGTCTGAGTCACACGATCAATCACGCCTGACATCACATGACCGGCTGAGAGCAGGCACTTTGGTAGAATGATATTCTCAGTTACCGATTTATGCTTACAATTTAAGATTACCCTGCTGACTGTGGATTAAGTGCTGTTTGGTCCAAAATGTGTTGTGAGGACTTGTTTGCCCTACAGGTTTTTGCAGCGCTGTCCATGTGCAGAGGATTGGCCTTGGATGGGGAGTCAGCCTGTCAATTCAGCTAGTTGCACCGACAAGAGGACTGATTTAGTGGTTTTAGAAACACAACGTAAAAAATAGAAAAATAAGTAGTAAAGAATATGATGCATCAGACACTAAAACCCGATATTGGTCATTAACATCATAGTTTTTATGCATAATAGTTCCATGTGCTGGTGATGGAGTTGTAGACCTTCCATGCTGACGTGTGACGGTTGGATGTCTTGGAGGAATATGGCCGCATCTCCCAAAAGGAATCTGAGTTATACATTTCTACTTCTGGCTGGTTTTCTTCTCAACACACACAAGGCACACACACAACACACACACACAGCACACCAGTCTACAGCAGCACAACACAGCAACACACACACACACGACACGACAGCACACACACACAGCAGCGGCGACACGACGAGGCACGCTGAAATACCTTACTTCTGTGCCGACACACGACATCATACCGCACGCTAAGATCACTGGTTTCCCAGTATGTTTCTGACACCCACAAGCACGTATGCATATGAGACTCACCAGCCACACTCCGCCACCCATCAGCTCACACCCACAACCTTGTGCAGTTTTCCTGGGATTGAAGTCCCAGCCTCCATTACCTGCGGATACATTGAACAGAGAACGCGTCTGATGTGTAAAGAGATTATACAGGTCTTCAGTACATTTGATAATGTCAGAGTATGTTTAAAAGGCTGGTGGCACTCACTCACTCTCTTTTTCGCAGCATGGAAGGGAAGAGAGCGGTATGTACCTCAAATCGCGTTTGAATATGAGATCCCATAGTAAGTCCTTCCGAAGTTCCGAAGGATATAGACCAATCAAATGGACACCCGACGCTGGCTGACTGGCCCAATCAAAATTAGCATCATAGCTTGCAGCCTTTTTTTATCAAGGAAGACTCGAGAATAGCAATCCCGAATTGCATTCATATATTTATTAATTTCATGACTATTGTCTATGTTCTTCATCAAGGCTGTCACTGAAAAAGTATTTAAGATAACTGATTAAAAAAAGGGTAGCACCGAGGGGAAATGTTTACATTACCGGACAGTAATACAAGCAATGTGAGTCACACAACACATTCTTCCTAAAAATCCCAAATTCCCTGCATACTTGTAACTCCTCTCCAACAAGTGTAAAGGGCAGGTGTATCTTCACCCACACAAATACACCCACTAAGGTTCAAGCAGCTGGTGAGTTTGCCCTTGACTGCCCACCCCCGGGCACTGCAGTGGCATGGATGCAGCTGTTTTAAAGAGCTCTGGATGGGACTTAGAAAGCCATGTCCTTGTCAAGGGTATATTCTTGTTTTTCATTACCCAGATATAAACTGAGGCTATGTTCACACCGACAATAGCACTGTTTAAAAAAATCCCTGGCTCCTTATTCATGCCAACGAGACCACTGTGTTGGTAGCGACAGGTGCTGCTAGCAGACGGCTCCAGATAAACAGTTGATCTTTCCTATTGCTGTGGCAGAGTCAAACATCATACAGCAACACTCGAGGCTATCTGACCAAATATGTGCAAGCATCCAATCCATACCGGGTAGAATATCTGGTATCAAGTAGCCTAATGTTAATTCTTCACATCGCTGCTGTGATCCTGCCAAAAAAGATGACTTTCTTTTTGGTATCTGTATTAAGACAACCCCTTGTGTTTTTTGGACACACCAAATCATACACAGTCATACACATTACAACTTTTAAGGGTTTGTAAGAATTTGCAACTGTGTCAGTGGTGTGTTCTTGTGCCAGCAAGAATTTCTGCCTCTCTCTCGCTCAAAGTTCAGACTGAGGCACTAAGTGAAAGGCAGAGTGGATGAGATGGAAAGATAGCCTGTACTGTGGTAGTTATTGTTTACTCATTATGTTGCCTCAGTAAACATGTACGTAAAATCTCTAATTGCCCAATTCATTCTTCAATTACAGCTAAAAACCTATTTTGAGTTCACAATGACCACACAATGGCCCCATATGACGATATTATGGCTAAAAACCCAACTCCGAATGTGTCAACAGGCCAACTACCACCTGGCAGGAATCACTACCTGAAATGTTCGAGAGTATAACTCCTTATGAACGAGATTAAAAGCAGTACTGCCAAATGACCCAAGCAATAGCAGGGTTACTGTAACTGGCTGGAAATCCATAAGATTCATATTTATTTTCATCTATTATGTTCACATCAATTCATCTCATTTCATCATAGACTTGGCCTGCATGAAAGTCATATGTTGACTGTATCCAACGTCGTGCAGGTCATACTCTAGAATGATGTTTTGCTTTTGGAAAGGGAATAATACAAGTAACTTCAAATTAAACTATTTTCTCATATTGTTCAGCCCTATTTGTTAGTGTAGCATCTGCTATGAAAAAGGCTGCTGTTCATCAATTGACTGTCACTTTGTTTTTTGAGTAGGTGGCACTGGTTTGCACCACAGCCCAACAAGTGTTGGCTATGCTTTTTAAACAAATGGGATACATGTAAAAATATAATATAATAATATAAATGTGTACAGAAGGAGAATCTGTGTATTCACAGTGCTGTAACCAAAAGCTAGCACCTTGAAGAACGAGATGTTCAGAAGGAGCAGAGGGAGGCGATGTGCTAAACACTGTTTGTAAGAAGCATGTTTTTCTACTAGCATTAACAGTGTTAGAAATGGTTACATTTGAGTCATTCTATGAATATGCACACAAGAGTTACACAATTAAGCTGTCAAATGCATGTCTTTGACAACTCGCAGGAATAAGGTTTATATACAGACACTGAATAAACAAGCTGTAGATTTGATTAGGATTTAAAAATCACTTCTAAAATGTCCATGGTCAAATTTTCAGGTTGAACTACATTTAAATTATGTGCATGAGTAATGGAATGTTAATAGGATGAGACAATTGACCTTAGCTTGTTGTGGAGTACTCCAGGCACGAAGCATTTGACATGAATTAGGCTAGGAGGTTTGTAATCCAGTGGAGAGGAGAGGAGGGGAGATCATGTGAGTGAGTTACAAAAAAAGTGAACATGGATATGAATTTTATTAAATATGTTTATTTGTATTATTTGTTCCAATGTCCGCTAAATAACTTTCAGAACATTAACAGATAATATGCTGTATATAGTACATTGTGTGGAAGTGAGATTTGTGTTGTCAATGTGCAGGACTTGCCCTTGACTGACCCGCCTTGGGCTCTAATAGAGACATGGCCTGCTGTGGGTTGGGGATTCTGGGAGTCTACTCTTAAGGAACAGATGTCAGGGCACAACAGCTGTTCATCTGGCACAAAACTCTCCAAGAACCTAGTTATCCAATATTAGCACCTTCAACTACCCAAGAGCAGCACTTCCAGTTCCACAGCATATAAATCACATATATTAATCGGTATAATTGTTGGACAATCAGTGACCTTTAATGCTATGCAAGTACCTCTTTTTTTAAATGATGCAGCATATAAATACTATATCTCAAAGTCATGCTGTGATTGTCTGTGTGTGAGAGAAGCAATGTACTCACCCTGGAAAGACTGCCTGGCTCTCTCGGCTAGCTCCTCGATGGGATAGCTGGCCAGGTCTCCTCTGGCATGCTTAGTCTTACAGTAGGTACATGCATTCAGACACCTAGACGGACACAAACAGATAAACAGAGAGACGATGAGAGAAAGACAAACGGATGGATGCCTTAGGAAGAGAGCAGGATTGAATAAAACTAAGCACAAAAATATGAAATCTTTTTTTGTGTTTCATCATACTATTTGTTGTATGCTAAGGCATTCAAACAAGCTAATATTTCAAAAGAATGTAAAAACAAAATTGCAAAATGGGCTACATTTAGAAAATGCTATGAAAAACCTGTAATTTAACTTTTTCATTCATAATTCATATGTTTGGGTCTTGTACTACACTTGGCAGGCATTAAAGTGACCAACACAATGTACATATGTATTGCTTTTAACGATTCTTTTTTGTATTTTATAAAACTAAGAAATACACACAATGAAGCATTACAACTCAACAACTCTACAATCTCAAAACTGACCATTCTATTAACAACATTTTCACTTGAATTCACTCAACTGAACTGTAGAAATGGGAGGGGCTGAGGAGAAAATGGCATGTTAAAATAAAAAGAGGAGACTTTTTAATGTTTTAATTCAATTTATTCATGCTCACTTTCCCAATAGAGCAGAATCGGGACAAGAAAGTAGGGAGTCAGAACTGTCCTTTCTCTACTAAACTGTTTATGAAGGAATGCAGCTAGCTCCAAAATAACCATGGACAGCTGTCTCTCAGACCGAGGCAAGCAGCGGAAAGATTAGACTCAATACAGTTTTTTGTTTTACAAAACGTAGAGAAGCTTAATTCAAATTGACCATGAAAGGGACGGAGTGAGACTATGAAGCATAAAAATTAAGAGAAGAAACTAAATACGCAGAAATTAAAAGAAGAAAAACTGCCTCACACCAGATCCACAATCATGGCATGGTATCAACTCTAGGGGAGTCTTTGTTTAGGATGAAGCAGACTTTTATTCAAGAGTTGTCAGTGAATCACTACTGAAAAGAAGAAGGAAGGTCACTGTTGAAAGTACTTTTTGTATTTACTCCATTGGGTCTTCATTTCTGACCTTCAATTTGTCATACTAGGTTAAAAATATACACTGTTACTGCTACCACAGTAGCTTCTTTTAAATCACAATTTCACTGTTGGCTTACATTTCTGGCAACAGCTCAGTTAGTTGCAGAACCATGCTGTTGGGTGATCACAAGTTAAACAGCGTAATTTGTTAAATATGTGTTTGTGAGAGGAGAAATAAGACCAAGCTGCTTTATCTAAAAAATATCACTTTTCACCATTTGCTATTTGTGCTCCAGCATAGCACAAAAAAGTTGCAAATACGTTTGGCACCTATACCTTTAAGATTTAAGGGCTTCAGTTTCCTGTATATCTCAGTTGAGGCTGAAATCTAATACTGACACATTTAATTCTCAATGGAGCTACACTTAGCACAAACATCTAATATGTAGACTATAGCATGCCAAGTGGTGTTTTCACTGAAAGCCCCAACCAAATCAAACTGACCAATATACTGAGCACAGTCCAGCTGCTCACAAAGAAAATACCATCTATGGTCATCTATTAACACAGCACTACTACTACAAGTGGTTCAGACAGAAAGAAGATCAAAAGCTCCAGTTCCTCTTTAATAAAATTGTCACAATGTTAAAATTGGTTTGCTATGGGATTTATACACTCCAGTGACTCTATTGCAATGACAAAAACATCTTACTATTGATTAATAACCACCAAATGCTGTGATGTAAGGCAGCTAGTATGAGACTATAAAATCAGACTGTTGTAGATAACAAGCGTAAATCCTGTTTCTGTCCGTGACAGACCCATTGAGAAATAACAGGGATTCTCCAGCACAAACAGGCCAACAACACACAACTCCTGCTGAACCAAAGATACAACTGTGCTCATGTTTAGATGATGTGTTTGTAAGTTCCATGTCATTCCAGATGAGCATTTTGCCAAATTTATTTTGTCCAATTAGTAGTCACGGTACAATGTCTTTTAACACTGACGATTCTGCAAGGGTGAGTAGTGCCTATCAATGTATCCTCATAGTTTCCACTCTGTGCTCTGGGAAGTATAGGATGAAACACTACATATTTAGTTGGCAATTCAATGAAATTTCACTTTCTCCTCAATTGCATGCCTATGGGTCCTGTGTGTGTGAACTGTATAATCAAGTGAAAAAACTAAATTAATTCTTCTTCAGTTACTTCTCAGAATGTGCAAAGACATTACAGTTCACAGTCAAGTCCACATACAAAAATGGTCTTAACGCTTCACTTTTAATGTATTTCTCAAAATAAGAAAAGTTCGACTGCATGCTACTAGTTTATATTCACACAAGGATGCTGCCAGGTTTTACCACAGTCCACTACTGTTGGCTACAGAGCAGATAATTGCCACCAACATGACAAAGGCAGCAATGCAAAACATTATCAGTAAAAAATTAAGAAAAATAACCTATAGTTTTAAGAACACTCTTTTGTAGTTTATTTACTGTGAGAAACCCTGCCGAAACACCTACAATATGTTATATATCTTATATAATTTTGAAATACAACCAAATGCCCAGGGCATTTTTAACAAAAGAGAATAATGCTATCTATCCATCAATCTCACCCTCTCAGGGTATTGCTTATCCTAGTGGAGGGCACTAAAGATGGCAGCTAGGTCACAGGACCTAGCTGTGGAGAAAACACAGACAGATGGGGCCCTGCATGCACACGCACGCACACGCGCACACACGCACGCACACACACATACACACACCACCAGGGGGTCCATCCATCTTAATGTGATCAGGCCCAGCTGAGTGGATCACACCAACATTAATCTCAAGAGACAGTCAGTGGCCTGCTTCAGTGTGTGTCTGTGTTTGCATCATTTATGTGCATAGTGTGTTCATATGTGGCTGTGTGATTGTGCTGCTGCTTAACATTTGTCCAGTATCACAACAACGCATCAGCAGTTTCGACCTCTCCATCAGCTTAAACAGACTCCGACAACTAGTCAACACCCTAGAAAGACAGTTACTGAAGGAGAGGAGCAGTGTCACTCTCTCTGACACACACACACAGACACATTGCTGAGAAGAGAAGAGAAGAGAAATAAAAGACTGAATTTACACAGTGACTTCCTAGCACTTAGACTAACTACCCAGTTACATCAACAACACTCCTGTGTTATATGGGAGAAATAAAACAAAATATTTCTCCTTATGAAGCCACCATCCTTTCCCTCCTTTGTTTCTGTCATCCCCCCCCTTCTGTTTCATCCCAGTTAATTAAACCACAGAGGTAGCTGTTGTACCTGACAACAGTGTAGTTCATCAATGTGTTAGAATGAGAGAGAGGCTACCTCCCCTGTGTGTGTGTGTGTGTGTGTGTACATGTGTAAGACAGAGAGACTATTGTGTGGTTGCAGCCTTGAAAATGTAACAAAGAAAGGAAACCCCTGAGCTCTATACATTCACTCACACATGCACGCACACGCTCTCTTTAGATAGGCTCCCATGTGCAGTATGTTAAAGATACAGATTGGGAAAGAGTTGAGCAGGAAAAGGTTTTCTCAACGATAAACATTTAGGATCTACACATTATTAGAAAACTGCTCTATGCATAAACAAATTGGACTATGTGAGCATTTGTGTGTTCATTGGGGTTCGTATTGTGTGGGCTTGAAGATGCAATTATGAAAACAAAGCTTAAACTGTGAGGGGAAGTCTAAGCACTTTGCAAATTATGAAGCAAGATTATTCATTGCACTTATTGTTGAGGCTTGGAGAGAGGTGGAGTGGGTATATGAGCAAACAAAATAAAAAAACTGCTATTATATGAGTAAACAAAGCATCAAGCCTGTAAGTTTACTGTTAGTGTCATCTCAAAGTCAAAGAGGAGGGTGCGAAATAATGTGGAGTCAAGTAACAAAGAATAGGGACACAATGGAGTAAAGACCTATTAGGAGCAATGAATAGAGGATGATTAGTTTTTCAGAGAATGGTTGGCAGCTAAACCTTATTTACCCTTGAATGAGTTAGAGACGGCTACATTCTGTTTATATACCAATGATCTTGCGTGACTGATAAAGACTTCCTTATATCTTGTATCTTATTAAGGGTTCTAATATTAAAGCATGATCAGGATGCGGGAGGAAAGAGAAATGTAAGTGCTTATAGCTTGTTGTGGAGTTTGACCTTCATGGCTCACTTTTCAGCAAAGAAATGTTGTATTGATTATGCAAAGACATTGCTGCACTATGGAAAAAAAGCAAAGAAATTTAATTGTGTGAGAAACCAGAGCAACAATTTTGATCGATAATTGCAAACAAAGAATATCAATGTCTGCCCTTTGTTGATGTAAGATGACAATGTTGATGGTGGTGATATAGGACATCACCTTGTACAAAAATCTATGCAAGTATTTCAGATTAATGTGTCATTGCGTGTGTGCATGTGTACATGTTTCTTTTCATCTGGGAGTAGAGCAGTGTGTCTGCGTGTATGTCCTAAGGCAGCTGGGGTCTGTTCCTCTCTGTGTTCCATCCAGGCTGTGTGTCTAAATTCTTAAATTTATTTAGTCTCGTGTTCCCAGTGCTGCACACTGAAACAGCTCTGTGTAAGTGTGTGTGTTTTATAAAACGTGTCACATGCTGACCTTGGATTTCTGTAACTACTACAGCAGCCTCGCTTGTTGTTTTGACTGGAGGGAGACAGCACGTGTATGTGTGTAAAACCCCAACCCCATGTCTACTGTGAGTCCCAGCTTCTTGTTTTGTCTATAGACAGACCTCCAGACAGTGTTTGTACTAGATCACTCAGCACATTGTTACTGGACAAGAATGGTATGATGTTTATTATGGACCACCAAACATATTAATAAAGTCAAACTTGGAGGCTGGCTGATTTTCTACTTAGCCAGCTGATTATCTGACTTGTTGCCTGCCTGCCTCACTGACCACTGTACTCTGTTACTGACTGGCTCTCGATGCTGTCAACCTGTCTAAATGACTGTGTGTCAGATGAAGCTGACTTAACTCATACTGTA